CTTCAGCACCTCCTGGAGTGCAGAGCCCCCCAGCCCTTAGAGCTACCTGGAGTGCAATTTAAAGAGCCTGGGGTTCTGGGCACTGGCGCCCTTTAGAATTGTCAGGCCCTGGGGCAATTCCTGCCCCCCCCCTCGAGTCGATGGGTCTGACAGGAACTAAACTATCTGAAGAGGTTGCATGTCATGTTTTGAGGGACAGAACCAGTGAAGAATTTTCTCTAAGTAACAGGACAAGGCTTTTAGGAGGCTAGTGATACAGTGTCTGCCTCCCTGTGCATGTGTATTTTCCATGGGAGGGTGTTTCTTATCCAGCAGGCCTGCTGCTCCTTCACACACCGTGGCTACAAGCCTGCAGTGCAGCTTTGGTTCAGGAACCTGGATGAGGGTGGAAGGAAGCCAGGCACCTAAAGGCAGAATGGGAAGCCTTTCAAACATAGTATCACAGAAGTGAAGGGCTAGAAGGGACCTTCAGAATCATCATGAAATCCAGTTCTCTGCACTTCAGCAAAACTAAGTAAATCCAGACCTTCCCTGACAGGTGGTTGTCCAGCCAGTTCTTAAAAACCGCCAGCGATGGGGATTCCACAGTTTCCCTTGGAAGCTTATTCCAGAGCTTAACTACCCTCAGAATGAAACAGTTTTTCTTAATATTACCCTAAATGTCCCTTTCTACTGGTTAGGCCCATTTCTTGTCCTGCCTGGAGAATAATTCATCACAACCCTCGTTAGAACACCCTTTAACATATCTGAAGATTGTTATCGGGTCCCCCTTCAGACTTCTGTTCTCAAATGCCCAGTTTCTGTAACCTTTCCTCATAGATCTGGTTTTCTGTATCTTTTATCTTCTCTTGTTGTTCCCCTCTGAACTCTCTGCCTTTCCTAAGCATGTCATCTTCTCTTAGAACCTAGGAGGAAGATGGGGCCTGTGACAGCAGTGCTACATCCAATGTCCAAAGAGAACTGGGATATCTATGAGCCCACCAGGACTTGCCAGAACATCTCTGAAATTGTTAAGGTGATTCCTCAGCATGAGGTGTAATGAAAAGTATTTCTGGCTGCATGTGTGTTCCCACTGTTGTATCTCCCTGTGTGCTGTGTGGAGTGGAGCAAGTTGAAACAGGAATTTCTATCCTGTGGAAAATTCTGATATTTGGGGTAAAAAATGTTGAAATAAGGATGACAAATATCAACAATTTTCCCAGTGTGGAAAGTTCCAAAATCTTTCAATTTGGAAATGTCACAACACTTCATTTTGGCTCAGTTTGACATCTGCCTGAACTGCCATGGTGCCTTAGAGGAGCTGTAGTTCAGGGGCATCTTGCCCCCATTCCACCTCATGAGCCAGGGTCCCCAGCTGGACTACATGTCCCATAATGTACTATGGCAGTTTAGCCAGAGGGGAATCTGGGGTGCATCATGGGAGATGTAGTCAAGCCAAGATGCCCTGCCCAGAGAGGAAAATGGAAGCACCTGAACTCCCATGAGGTAGTGCAGCAGCACAAGTCAATACCGATTAATATCAAACTGAAACATTTCAATTTTTTTCCTGTGGAAAAATTTTCTGGAAAAGTGAGCGACAGCTGGTCAGGAATTTTCTGTTCCAGAGCCTGCGTCAGCCAGGATACTTGTGTTTCATTTCTATTTCAGAGGAGAACTACCTGTCCTTATCTAAGGCTCAGTGAGCGGAAAAGAAAAGACTCATGAGACATGGTTGTCCTCGCTAATTGAATGGTTTGAAGTAGTGATTAAACAACCCCTGCAAGGGTATTTGGTAACTAAATAATAGTCCCAAGAGTATTTAGTTACAGTATCCGACACACCAGGCTCAGGAGAAGGCTGAATGCATCACACCCCAGAGTAGCTGAGCTCTTGTGAAGCACTGGCCTGATTGAAGCGAAGAGTGAGGGGGGATTTGATAGCAGCCTTCAACTTCCTGAAGGGAGGTTCCAAAGAGGATGGAGAAAGGCTGTTCTCAGTAGTGACAGATGGCAGAACAAGGAGCAATGGTCTCAAGTTGTGGTGGGAGAGGTCCAGGTTGGATATTAGGAAAAACTATTTCACTAGGAGGGTGGTGAAGCACTTGAATGGGTTACCTAGGGAAGTAGTGGAGTAGATGGGAGTCTGCATCCCTAGAGGTGTTAAGTCTCGGCTTAACAAAGCCCTGGCCGGGTTGATTTAGTTGGAATTGGTCCTGCCTAGAGCAGGGGGCTGGACTTGATGACCTTCTGAGGTCTCTTCCAGTTCTATGATTCTATGAATGGCCTTGACATTGTTGAAGGCAGTTCAAAAGAGCCAAACTGGGCTTTGTCTAGATTCCGCTTATCAATTATGCCACCCTTCAGAGTCCAGTTGGGTCACCTACACCTGGGGCTTTGGTTGTGTTCTTCCAGAGATTTGGACAATTTCTCAGCTCAGAGCAGATGACAGACCTTCTACTTACAGCTCTAGAAAGCCTGAAAGAGGCCAACGAGAGCACCATTGAAGCATCAAAGACCATTCTGACTGTACTCCTGGAGAAGTACAAGTGGAAGATACAGAAGCAGGTAGCAGGTTCTTGGGAGCTGAGGAACATTTAGACCAGTGGTGTCCAATGTGGCGGCTACTGCTATAGCGAACTAGACACGCTCACCCAGCCAAAGAGCCACATGTGGCTAGTGGCAAGCGTGTTGGACACCACGGATTTAGACTCTCCTGTCCTGGGGTACTGTCGGTGGGACTCTTTCATCCTTGCGATGCTGATAGTGTAAGGATTGCACATGGACTGCCTAAAGCTAGGGGTGAGCCATTGTTCCGTTGTCTTGGGACTTGGAGACTGCATCTGGAAGCGTGGGTGCTTCTCTTCAAGCTGCTGCAGTTTTTCTTGGGGTTAAAGAAGTCCTATCGACCTGCTCTGCAGCTTTGTTTGTTGCTATCAATCTCTTCTACGAAACGCTAGAGCAGAGGTGGGGAACCTCAGGCTCCCGGCTTGCCTGGATCTGACCCCTGAGGCTCTGAGCCCCCCCCGCAGCATTGGAGAGCCTGCGGTAGTGCTCCAGCCCCACTGCTGCCCCACCTTAAGGCTGGAGCACACAAAATCTACTAGGCTGGGCCCCCTAGGCTCTGGTGGGCAAGGGGAATGTGGGAAGTGTCTTCCTTCTCAGTTGGGGGCCAGTGAGGGGTTTTTTTGCTTCTCACTTGCATGTGGCCCCTGACTGATTTTTCTGTGAGTCTGTGGTCTCCGACCCAAAAAAGGTTCCCCACTCCTGCACAAGAGAATAGCAGGGAGCACTCCTGCTTTGGCTAGGAGAAGGCCTAGGCAATAGGAGAGGTTTTCTAGGATGATCAGGATGTGTTCACCAGGAAGGTGGAATTGCTCTCTCTAATAATATCTTTCTATTACACTCCAATTCTTCCCCTAGAGGGAACCCTCTGCAGCTGGACACTCACACTCTCTACACTGTATTGTTGTCTTCTAGGTGCCAAAGATTGTGGACAGGATCCACTCCCAGCTCAGAGCCATCCATTATTCCCACCCCAGACAGGCAGTGATGATGGCCTTATGCCGACTGGCTTGTGCTTTCATGGAAGAAGTGTCCACGGTGCTTCTAAAATATCCACTCCCACTGGACAGGTATGAAACTTCCTAAAAACCAGGGTACTGAGAGCTCACTCTTCGGGTTCCTTATTCCTTCCCTCCCCCCTCTTTCTGAAAGGTCTCAGACTGGCGGTGGCTTCCTTGCTGTGCAGACAATGTTTGTCTTGCCAGGGGGAGATTATTCCATCTCCACAACCCCCCTCCTGCTGCCCTCCCAAGAGGCTGCTTCTCCACCCGTTTCCTAATGGCAGGAATCACAGATTTGCCCAGGTGCCCTCAGTGATATTTACTAACAGTGTCATTCGATGTGTCACTCACTTGAGTGGAAGGGCGGAAATCCCAGTGATGAGAGCACACGAGGCTAAATTCTCCATCTGCAGAACTGGCGCCTGCGCACACATAGGGCACGTCTAGACTACAAGCTTTTGTCAACAGAGGCTTTGTCGACAGATACTGTCGACAAAGCTTCTGTTGACACAGAGCGCCTAGACGACATCCAGTTCTGTTGACAAAGCAAGCCGCTTTGTCGACATGAGAGTGTATACACAAAGCACAGTGTAGATGCAATAACGCCTTCCGTCGACAGAACTCTATCGACAAAAGGTGTTATTCCTCAAAGAATGAAGTTTACCGCCGTCAACAAAACTGCTGAGTTCTGTCGACGTTATGTCGACAGAACTCGGCCGTAGTGTAGTTTTGTCGATGAAAGTCTACTTTTGTCAACAAAACCCTGTAGTCTAGACACACCCATACAGCTGCTGGTGCTTGACAAACAAAAATCTTCACAAGGTGCTTGCAGGTTCCAGATGCAGGACTCAGCAGGCCTCTCAACCACAACGTAAAATTGACAGTATTTGGGGTGGGGAGGAAATCACAGTAGATGGCCAAAGTCCACTGCTCCTGCTCCCATCACCACCATCAGACACAGCCCAAAACATGATCCCCGGCCATGGAATAAACCTCTTCAACCCTTATTCTGTCTCATCCCCAGCTGGGCAGGATAGACTTGTGGTGTGTTCCAGGTCCAAGCCTAAGAGGGAAAATACATCCCACAGCTCCTGCTATTCTGTATGGAAGGCAGTGCAGCTTGCAAGCTTTCATAGGCTCCAGCTGTGGCAGTGTGTTATGGGGAGAGATGGACTCCCCGGTAACACAGAAGTATAGGGCTTTCTGGGTTGGCCCCCTTCACGTGCGCCTGGATGGGGGCCTCCAGGGAAGCTAAAGGGGCTCTGCACCCCACCTTCAGAGTCAACAGTGACTCTCAGCCAGCAAGTAACAGAGGGTTTATTAGGCGATAAGAATTCAGTGGGGAGCAGAGCTTGTTAGTGCAGACATCGGTGACTTTCTGCAGAGTCCATCTTGAGTGTAGCCCAGGCTGGGTGCCCTGGATTCCCCCTCTCCTCTGAGTCTCCCAAGAGCAGACTGTCAAGCTTCCAGTGACCCAACCTCTGACATTCCTGTTACCCCTCCTCGTAGTATTTGCTGGCTTATCAGGCAAAGTGTCACCTGGTCACATCCCATCCCGGGACTCGGATTACACAGTGCATCAGCCATTGCTTGTGGCAGGGGTGAGGAACCCTTTTGTATCGAGGCCATTGACCCATCAAAAATACCACACACACGTTCAACCCATCCACCCAGGGGAACACGGGGAGTCCGGTCTTTCTGCCCATGGCTGAGTGAGCTGGCGCTCATGACTCCAGCCTTGCATGGGGGGAAGCCAAGACTCCGGGGTTTCCTCCCACGGAGCTGGAGACATGAGCACCAGCTTGTCCCATTGCAGGGGGAAGCCCTGAGCCTCCGCACCCCCTCCTTCCAGGCAGGTGAGTTGAATGTGTATGGCCAGTAGCCAGATGAAAATCAGCAAGAGACCAGATTTGGCTTGTGGGCTGTAGGTTCCCCACCCCTGGCTTATATGCAGGCAGCTAAAGCTGCCTCACCTTGCCCCCAGGGTCTCAGCAAAAGTCACACACCCATATTCCCTCCACCTAGGCATTGGAGTAATGCACAGGGAAACTGAGGCATGCACAGTAAGATTCCTAGGCTCATGTACAACACAATGAGGAGGAGAAACCCCACTTTGTCACAGGTCCAACCCCTGGAATTCCGCTTGGAATGCCACATGCAGCTCCTAGAACACCACGGTGATGTGCTCCCAGCGTCAAGCTCCATTCAGAAAATGGTCTGCTGCACTGTGGACAAGCGTTTGCTCCTGAGTGGTATCAAGGTGTAGGTCCAAGAGGGTGTGCACCACAGGAGTCTAACCCCAAAGTCACAGATACTCACCAAAGTCCCCATGTCCAAAACCAAACCCCATGTCACACTGGGCTTACCAAGCACAATGAGACAGAACCCTTTGGCACAGCTGTGACCGGAGCGTCCATAGTAGCCTTGAGTCTAGTAGGACCCCTGAGCTGTCCAGCTGACTCTAAGCTACAGGCCTTGCCCCATCAAGGACAGTGGCGGTGATGTGATTCTAGTCAGTTTTTCTAGTCGTGTCCCACAACCCTCTAACAATTTCCCTGCCCTGCCCAGGCTGAACCTCAGCCTGCTCAGCTTCATCCAAGCTCCAGTCTCATGTAGAAATGGGGCCATCCCGTCCCTCCACCAGCCAGATCAGCTGTAACGATGATGTGGACCTGGGGATTCTCCGCAAAGAGTGGGTGCCTTTGCCCATGGTTCCTTTCTCACCCACCTAGCAGCCTGGAGCAAGAAGTGAGAACAGAACTCAACAGTATCCCACAGGACTGTCTGGGGGTGGGTAAACTATTCCCTATAATCGCCCTCAGCCAGCCCATGTAAATAGGAGCAGATGGGTTCCATATACTCCTAAGGATCACAGCTGTATTGACTGCACTTCATGATCAGCCATGTGGAAGGCAGCTGATGGAGCCTGTGTAGCCAGGAGACAGTCACTCAGTGCCACTCATGCAGCTGCAGTCCCATATCCCGCTCTGCACCCAGGGTGAAGGGAATTTTGCAAATGTTGCCGTTGTTGCTTTACCTCCACCTCCTTGATGATCCTTCCCAGGCGTGGGAGCAAGATCTGGTGGAATGAAGCCATTGCAGGAGGTCATGGTCTGTTCATGACAAGGGTATATTTGATTGCACACCCCCAAGCCACTGTAGACACTGCAGTGTACATGTAGAACTGGCAGTCCTCTGAGCCAGCCCCACATGGGCGTGACCTGAATGCATCTTAAGGGTAAAAAATGATGGCTGGTTATCTCGTAGCAACCTGCAGTTCTGACAGTGGTCTCAGTCCACCATGTGATGGATGGAATGTGTAACATGGGCCACTTACTGCTTTAGGTACACAGGCCAAGTTCCTTGGTGTCTGGGATGAGGCCCTGTGGTAGTCACCATCTTTCCCATGGAGCCCCAGGCCCTACTCGGGTGTCGTGGGTTCCATCAGACTGTGGTGTGGCAGGGCTCTATGTATCTCATCCAGCATGCTACTGTCTCTCCACTTGCAGAGATGTGGCTGGGATGTGGAGAATACTGGCCAAAACAGAAGCCGCTTGTCACACCCACAGACTTCTGGACGTGCTGCTGAAGGAGCTGCAGGAGAGGCCAAGCACTTCTGGAGATAAAGCTTCCATCCTGCCTGTAGCCGTAAGAAACAACTCAGATGTGACTCTCCTCTCTCACCAAAGAGGGAAGTGGTCCACATCTGAAGGATGCACGGTTGAAAATGCTCTGTGGAGGAGGGATGGGGAGAATACCCCTAAAGCTATGGCAGGACCCTAAAAATGCTCCTTTTTGCCATTTCTTTGTCTTCTTCAGGAAATGCCTTGCCCCCTGACACCAGCCGTCTTGTCATGCAAGGCTGGCCAAAGCTCCCCACGGAGCCAATCAAAGCTGCTGCTTAATGACCTGGAGATGACATCACGGTTGCCATTTCCTTTCCTCCCCCATCAGGGACTGAGCAGTGTATCACCTCCAAGTGTCTCTGCCACGTTCCACTTCCTCCATCTCCAATGTTCTCCTTCTCAGGGTCCAAGCAGGCTAGCTCCTGCCTCCATTGTCAGAGACTGGCTGCACTGCCTCCCATTTCCATAGTGCTTTTTCTCCCCAAGGCCTGAGCACTCCACTTCTGCAGCAGTCCCAGCTTCAGCTTGTCCTGGGAGCAAAGGTCCAGAACTAGAATAATATAATAGTAACATATAGTTCTACTATAGAGCCCTCTTCATCAGTAGGACTCGAAGCGTTTTCCAAAGGAAGACAGTATTATTATCCCCATTTTACAGATGGTAAAACTGAGGCATGGAGAGGGGAAATGACTTGCCCATGGTCACCTAGCAGGCCAGTGGAAGATCAGGGAACAGAATCCAGGCCTCTTGAATCCCAGCCTGGGGTTCTGTCTGTTTGGCCCTGGCACTGAGACCCTGGTCTCCTGCACAGCAATGCACAGCATTAAGCACAGAGATGGGGTTACCACGACAAAAGAACACCACCTCTTCTTACTGGCAAAGCCCTGGGCTAAGCAGCCTTGTTGGGGCCCATGGAGCCAAGGACTGGCTATGAAATGGAAGTGCTGGTGAGAGGCAGAGGATTTTACCTGCATGTTTCCCTCCTTCAGGCAGCCAGCGCTCTGTTCGAGGTATTATCTGTATCCATGTGCACACAGGCGGTGAAACGCGTCTACCCCCGCCTCCTGATGGCCCTGCTGGTTCAGGTGCACTATAGCACTGGGCTCAGCCTGCCCGACAGCAGTGCCTCCAGGCAGGAGCTCATCCCTGCACGGTAACTACTGAAAGGTGTTGATATGATAACTGCATCCATCAGACTCCTCCCTGAGTGCTGCTGACCGTACAGGCTGCTTGTCTTCATGCCCCAGGCCTTTTGGCACCTGTTCCCACCTTCCCCATCATCTTCCATTCACTCCTGTCTCCAATCAGCTCCCCCATGCCAGCCTCTGTTAAACAAGCACCTTCACTCCCCACCCCCCACATGAGTGGCACTCGGCAAAGCTACATCCCGTCCCTTCACCAAATGCTCTTTGGCCATGATGCCTACAAAACCTTGCCAATAGTCAGGCTGGGGGGTGCTGAGACCGCTGCCTGCCATGCTCCCTTGTCTGTGTGTTGCCTTGTTTCATGCTTAGATGTAAAGGTTTTGGGGGCAAAAGCCCTTCTCTCTCTCTTAACTTTGTGCAGCACCTAGCACAATGGGGTCCTAATTAGTGGTCCCCGTAAGCTGAGCGTTTGGGCGGCCACCCAGGTGGGATGCCAATGACACCCAGCTGATTAGCAGAGTGCCCACCGCAGGCAGGATGTGTTTATATGGGTGGTGCACATCTGCACCTGCCTTGGTGCATGTAACAACATATATTCTGCATGTGAATGGAAAAAAAATTGGAGGGAATACTGGTCCTGGTCCAGGACTAGGGCTGTTAGGTGCAAGTGCTACAACCTATAGGAGTCCATCAAAGCTCCATGCATTCCATATACTCACACCAGTGAAGTCGCCCTCAGTGCTCCTTGCTCTTACAAACTGTGATGTCACGTGTGCAGTGCAAGGTGGGGTGTCACTGGTATGTTATCTTGTACATGCAGTACACTTACAGCATGGAGTTGGGCACAGTAATAGCCATGTAGGTGCAGCAACGAGACAGTGCGGGCTTTGCCTCCGAGGTCTTGGTGTGCAGTACGGGGCTGGCCATGCTGCCCGGCTTAGACCTCAGTGTGACCGGCATTGGACATGCAGTGCAGGGATGGGGTTGCTAGCTCTATTACATTGCAGTGCACTACAAGCCCAGTTTCAATACAATTCAGGTATGTGGGGGGGAGGGGGGGGGACAAGAGAATGGACTGCCTTGGGCAAAGCTGGTGTCGCTCAAATACGGGTATTGCTCTGAATGCAGCTGTGTTGTGCAGACGGTGAAGACCCTTCTCCTAAAGATGGGATGCCACTACGAGTTCACCTCTGTTGAAAAGGAGGGAGGCTGGGAACTGCTCGCTAGCTCTGAGGAGCACCATCGGGGGGTAGGCCTGCTTGCCAGGTGAGCGATCTCCCCCTCCCTCCCTTCTGCCAAATCTCTCTTCCCCCCACCTGCTGACTCACGTCCTCTGCAATAAGGGTATGTGTTTGCTTCCACAGAGCCATGGTCCACTACTCTTGCTGTGAGCTGTGGCGGATCTTGTACCTTCTGGTCCCATTCCTGGAACGAGGCGACAAACAGCACAAGCTCACAGCAATGGCCTTCTTCGTTGAGGTAAGAGTCATTGGCTCACATCTACTGTGGTACAAAAGCTCGTGAGCTGCTTCTTCCCTTTCTGGGCTGGGGAGCTGAGCTCAGACTCCAAGTGGCTCAACTGAGCACTCGGGGAAAGCCTCCACGTGTGATTGAGAGGTTTTGTGTGTGTCAGAAATAGTGATACCACTTTGCCCTTCTACAGCATCTTCCTCCCCAGGCTCTCAGTACATTTGGAACATTTGTTGATTGGAATAACAAAAATGTAGTGGGATGACTCTCATGACTGGACAACTGCCATGGAAGTGTATAAACTGTTCATGAAGGACAGGCAGGGAAGAAAAGATGGAGGAGTTACACCCTGGGTATGTCTAGACTACATGGCTCCGTCGACGGAGCCATGTAAACTAGTTTACCCAGCATAGTCAATGAAGCGGGGATTTAAATAATCCCCGCTTCATTAAAATAAAAATGGCCACTGCACTGTGCCAACGATCAGCTGATCTGGCACAGTACGGCAGTCTAGACGCAGCGCAGTCAACAAGGGAAGCCTTTGTCAACTGCTCTGGTAAACCTCGTTTCACAAGGCATGGTGAAAGGATGAAATAGACTAGGCTTTCTTTGGACAATTAACAGATATTTCTAGATCACAGGCCCTGTTTCTCATGGGGAACTTCAATCACTGTGACATCTGCTGGAAGAGTAATACAGCAGTGCACAGAAAATCCAGGAAGTTTTTGGAGAATGTTGAGAAAAACTTCCTGGTGCAAGTGTTGGAGGAACCAACTAGGGGTCATGCTCCTTTTGACCTACCACTCACAAACAGGAAAGAATTGGTAGATGAAGTAGCAACCTGAGTAACAGTGACCAGGAGATAATGGAATTCAGGATCCTGACCAAAGGAAGAAAGAAGAGCAGCAGAATGTAGACCCTGGACTTAAGAAAAGCAGACTTTGACTCCCTCAGGGAACTGATGGGCAGGATTTCCTGGGAGGCTTATATGAGGGGGAAAGGAGTCCAGGAGAGCTGGCTGTATTTTAAAGAAGCCTTATTGAGGGAACAGGAGCAAACCATCCCAGGCTATGTCTAGACTGCAGGCTTCTTTCAGAAGAACATTTTCTGGAGATCTTCCAAAACAACTTCTTCTGAAAGAGAGCGTCTATACAGCAAAAGCGCATTGAAAAAGCGATCTGCTTTTTCGAAAGATAGCATCCATTCAGTGTGGACGCTATCTCACATTTAAGTTGTGATTACTATGGATGGAGTAGCCACCAGGGCACGTGTGCTTTTTCCTCTTTCCTCTTCTTTCAAAAGAACTCCCTCTTCCCCGTCCCCCCACACCTTTTTCCAAAAGGGCTCTTTCGGATAAAGGCTTCTTCCTCGTAGAAAGAGGTTTACCAATATTGGAAACCCCCCTCTGTTCTTTCGATTTTTTTGTTTGAAAGAACATGACTGTAGGATGGATGTCAATCAAGGGGTTTTTTCAGAAAAAAGGCTGTTTTTCTGAAAAAAAAAATTCTGTAGTGTAGACATAGCCCCAATGTTCAGAAAGAAAAGCAAATATGGCAGGCAACCAGTTTGGCTTAACAGAGAAATCATTAGTGAGCTTAAACACAAAAAGAAAGTTAACAAGAAGTGGAAACTTGGGCAGATGAACAGGAAGAAGTATAAAAATATTACTTGAGCATACAGGGGTGTAATTAGGAAGGATAAAGCGCAATTGGAGTTATAGCTAGCAACAGGGGGTTGGACTAGATGACCTCCTGAGGTCTCTTCCAACCCTATGATTTTTCCTCATAGCAACACATTAGGGTAGATTAACATAATTACCCCCATTTTACAGATGGGACAGCTGAGGCAACAAGGTGTAAACTCCCCATGCCTAATAAGAAGTCTGGCAGTGACGAGAATAGAAAACATTTAGTTCTGTGCTTTAGTCTGTTCTTCCTCTCTTTTCCTAAATATAGGTTTATTGTATGCAAGTATCTTTTATAGACAGGCAAACATTCTCACATGTGGAAGCCTTTCTCTGAGTACCAACCTGAGCTCAATTTTCATAAATGTGGAGAAGCCGCAGTTCCCACTGCAGGCAATAGTTGCAGATGCTTAGCAAACACAGGGGGCAGTCTTTGCACTTGGTGCATGAAATATAGACTTCATGCCCACTAAGCAATAGTCTGTGAACATACAGAATGAGATTCTTACCTGCCTTGAGCACAGGGAGCAGACTTCATGCCTCCTCTAGGCATAGCAAGTAGGTTTCATGCATGCTGGAGCATTTACAGGAATGTTCATCCAGAGAACAGACAGACAGCTGTCTGTTTTGCAGCCTGTTATTGATTTGCTCTTTGTCTTTTTAGCTTCTTCACATGCCACAAGCAAAGCGGCTTCCAAAGAAATATTCCGTGATCCGTCTACTGAAAGGACTGACTGACCCAGATCCAGTTATTCGAGCACTGTGTGTCAAAGGACTGATCACCATGGCAGACTGGCCAGAGATAGTGAGTTGGAGTCCATTTCAGTATGCAACCAGTATCAGTGTAATTACTCCAGAAATATATCAGTAACGATAATAGAAATCTGGAGTAACTCTCTCAGCACTAAGAAACTATTGCTGATGGAAGGGAAACAGATTCCATTCCTGTTAGTGCAGAACTAGATCTGCTGGCTAGAGTCAAAGGTATGTGAACAGCATCTAGATTTGCTCCAGATCCCAGCTTTTCAAAGCAGAATCAGAACCATTTAGCTGGATCTGGGATCAGTGAGCAGCATTTAATATTGCTCTAGATTTCAGCCTTGTAAAGCATGCAAAAAAACCCTCTCAACTGGTTGAGGGCTCAGTGGAGTACTTGGAAGTGCTAGTATGGGTGTCAGTGAAATCTTTCAGGAGCAAGCATATGTTTTACTGGGTATCTAACACTGCATACTAGAGACAGGGTAAGAAATACATTTCTACATTGATGGATAAAATGCAATCTCAGAGCTGTTTATGTTATAGCAGTGGGTTCCAGCCTGTGGTCCACAGACCCTTGGGGATCCGTGCACTGTGTCTAAGGGAAAACCACTGGAATGGGTTGTTGTGAACTTAGAATAGCGGTTTTCAACCTATGTTCTATGTTTGACTTCCAAAGCGGTCTGCGCCTCCATTCAAAATTTGACTTAGAATAGCGGTTTTCAACCTATGTTCTATGTTTGACTTCCAAAGCGGTCTGCACCTCCATTCAAAATTTTTAGGGAACCACAAATGATAAAAAATTGAAAACCACTGGATTATAGTAAAGAGGACTAGGGTTATACATAATCTTGTGTCTTTTACAACTTTAAATTGTCTATTTATGGCTACTATGGTGCCTAATCATGCCCTAACTCATTTATTTGAATTGTGATGGCAGAAATGAGGCATTTCATTAGCAATGAAATAAACACAAAAGGGAAAACACCTTCATGACAGCTTTGTTTCAAAATCTTTTTTATTGTTTGCCTCTTCTCTCCACACGTAGTGAGCCAAGAAAAGCCACATACATAACTCTAACCAAGAACTGAATTAGGGGAGGAGAAATAATGTGTCATAGGATGTAATGTACAGGGAATGAGGCATGAATTCCATTGAAAGTCCTTTTTAAACTAAACTTGCCCTTTTCTTTGGGGTTTTTTCAGTGTTTGGAAAAATTCTCAGAAAATGAATTTGTCACATTGGTTGTTTTCTTCTTAAACTGAAAGAATCCTTGGTGAGGCAGTGTGGGGTAGTTACTGCATCAGCTTCTTCTGTGCAGGAGATAAAGGACCAGGTACCAGTCATGATAAACAGCTTGTGTGGCGTGGACGGGAGGCTGGTTGTGGAAGCTCTTGCTGATGTCAAGAAGATTTTCAGAGGCCTGGATGGAGCAAGTTATGTTGGCTGCATCATCGGTACCCTTAAGCCCCTCTTTGATGATGTAAGACAACAGTGTGTGTGATAGGGATGAGGGAAGGGGTGTGAAGTAGCATCTCTGCTGCAAACAAGCAGTCGTTCGTATCAAATAATGGAAGAAAAACAATAATACTTTTCCTGGGTTTATACCCTTCATTCTTACTCCTGCCCTACTAGATGACTTATGCCTGTCCCAGCACAGTGGACCCTGCCCTCCAGGACTAGGAGACACAGCTTATGCTGTGGCCATGTCTAGCAAGTTAGGCTTCTCCTGTAGCATGTGGTATGCAACACACATGCCTCAGCTGTTCATGTTGTACGTGGCACATTCAGTTACACTACTCGTTCTGTGCAACCTAATATGTTGCAGAATTGAAAGAAGAGCAGGTCCAGCTCTTATCACATATACTGACCTGTGAGGTACTCAGTGCTCTCAACTGCTGTTGATAAATTCAGGAGGAGGTGAGTGGACTCAGAAGCAGGGCCTATACCTGTATATAATTCATTGTAGTACATCACCAACACCATGTTGTACAGCTTTCCCTTAGCAAAAGGAGAGTCTGTGTGATGCATTATGGGAAATGTAGTCCAACTGGGGATCTTGGCCCATGGAGGAGAATAGGAAGACAAGGTGCAAAGCACAACTCCTATGAATTACAATTCCCATTTTCTACTGAAATCCTTTGGCTAACACATTTCAATTAAAACCCCAAATTTTCCACTGAAAGCAGGCTCTTCTTGCAAGAAAATTGTTTAAATCAAAAGCCTTGATGAGGACTATAGAGCAGTATAAACACTGAAGTAAATTCCTAACCAAGAGGAGTACAACTGTACACTAACAAGCCCCCTTTCTTCCTGACTTCCTCTGTTTGTGTGTGTCTCAGGAGAGAGTGAGTGTACGTTCTGCTGCTATTTCCTTGTTTGGAAAGATAATTAAGAAGATGAAGAAGAGTCAGGTGCTTATGAAAGAAGAGGAAATCTTGGACAGCTTGATCCCATTACTTCTACACCTGCAAGAGGGCAACCCTGATGTGGCTGAGGCAAGTTCCTACAGTCATTTATCTCTAGGCCTGAATCACCAGTATCCTCAAACATCTCATTCTCCAGCTCCACCCTCTAATGTGGGATTTTTTCCTAATCTATCTACTCTAATGTGTTTTCTTCCGGGGGGAAAAAAACTTGGAGCTTCCCTATCACTCTGTGAAAAAGAAATGCCAAGAGATTCATTCTCATTGCAAGTTTAACAGTTGGAACATGCTGCTAGTTCTCCAACTGTGAGAACTCCATCCTGTCTTGTAGAAATGTAAGAATGCATTGGATGAATGTTCTCGACTCCTGGAATGGAGATTACCTAAACAAGTGGACAACAGAAAGGGCTGGCACAACCATCAGGAAGGCGTGGATGAAATCTGCCACTACTTTGTAAGTGATCTCTGGGTTCATTGTTAGAACTGTGTGTTGATTTGATAGAGGGAGGATTTGCAAAGAGTAAGATCCCTGTGTGGGAAGGGTAATGAGGGGTTGTGTAGGGCCATCCCTGTCATTTAAGCTTTCATTTTGTTCATTATTGATGTCTCAGGTGAAAAAACATCAGGAAAATGTCCAAAGGTTATTGTTCCAAAGTCAGCGCTACCTCAGCAGCACACAGCCTTCTATACGAAGGGCCACAGCCATGTTCATAGGTAAATACAGAAGAATTTGCATGTCTTTAGCAAATCCTATAGAAGCACCTTTTTGATCTTTTGTGCTATTCCCTATAGGAGTGTACGTTAATTGCTTTTTTGCCAGATACCCTGATTCCTCAATCTTCTGGGACAGGGACAGTCAAATATTTTTTGTCAAGATCCAAATTTCTTGGTCATGGTGGAGCCAAGGTCCAGACTCCAGTGAAAATAAATAATAATAATAATTAATAATGAACCCAACAATAATGAGAATCATAGGTATATAAAAAGATTTCGGGGTCCATTTGGAAGTGTTGGGTTATCTAGATTTAGCCCCAGTGTGCTTATGGACTATCCCTATTCAAGAATTTAGTATTGGGTGCAATACAAAAATAGGAGAAATTCCTGGATTTTATGTTCGTATCAAAATACTCTAATGGCTCATCAAAAACAAATCCTATTGTAATCTCCAAAATGCCCCTAGCTACTCCTATAGGAATTTCTCTACAGGAATGTATGTCATCTTCTTGAAAGCCAGCCTCTCACTATAGCCATAATCCAAAGCTCATTGGAGTCAGTGGAAAGACTCCTGTTCACTTCAGTGAGGTTTTTCATCAAGTTCTATCTCCTTAGCTTCTCCATCTCCAGATTTAGGAACTTGTCCAAATACCTGAGGGCATCCTTGTGTGAAAGACAAAAACTATGAAGGTTCGGAGAGTAATGGGAATTCCCTGCTTTTAATGGCATGTTCAGGGTTCCTGGTTATGCACATGGACAACATGATAAGCATGAAAGATTTGGATCTCATAAATAATGGTAAGTAAAGACCTCATGTTTAAATTTCTATGACCGTGGATGAGTATTTGTGTGTGTGTGTCTGAGGAGGCACTAGGATTTCTATACACTTTTGTCCAAGGATCCATATAAATCAGTGGGCCTCTGGTCTGAGGGCCCACATGTGGCTCGTGTCACCTACAAGATGTTTTGTTTACCACTGCCCATGGACAGGGTTGCTGGTTTTCATTTGTGTAGTTTTTTTCCTACTGATATTACAAAAGTGATATGCACTTAAAGCAAGAGCACATGACGTGAGGTGCATGCTGATTGCACACAACATTGTGTTCTCCCTCTGCATCCAATCAAAGTGCTACTACGGTTCAATCAGCACATCCTATAAATTCTAGGTTCACAAACGCAGTTAGCAAAATTATCGTATCCCAGGAGACTGTCTTGGTTACAACAATCTTGCAGCCTACTGAATTGAAAAAGGGCCACTCATGCGGCCCACTCACTAGCCTAGGTTGCCCCTCAATGGTATAAATAATATCGATAATAGTTTGAATTTATACCTCTTGTCGCTCTATGCTTTATTCTTGGTGGCACCTCCAATAGCATGTGTTTGAATACCATTTCTATCTACAATGATGATTCTCAAATTGACCCTAGACATATCTCCCAAGGTTAAATCTCTTCTTGCACACATTCTCCAACATCTTGTTCAGGATGGCTCATCATTTGTTCAAGCTCAGTTTGACTAGAACTAAACTCTTCTCTCTGAAAGCTTCTCTAGTACTCTCTTTTTCCAATGTTGTAGGAAACACCACCATCCAGACCTGTAACCTTGAGTCATCTCTTTATCCTCTCCAACATCCACACTATGACAAAAATAGATTTTCACTTCTTCCATCACACTTCAGAACTCTCCTTTTTCCTTTCTGCTCTGATAGCAAAATCACTTGCCCACTTCCTAATCAGCTCCCAGCCTCAGGGGCGGATATAGGACAGGGCGAACGGGGCCCTGTGCTTCAGAAAGCCCCGCGCATGCGCCAAGGCAAAGGGGGGGCCCCGCGGAATTATGCTGCCCGGGGCCCCGCAGAACGGTCATCTGCCCCTGCCCAGCCTGATAACAGCAAACTCTTTCTGTCTGGTCCCCTACATACTGTTTATTCCCCCTCCAATTCATCCAAAATCCTGGACCAAAACCATCTCTTTGTTATGACTGTATCATCCCTTTTCCTAGAATGCCTCCACTAGCTCCCCTTCATCTCCCATATCAAGTTCAAGCTCTTTAAAAAGCATTGCATCTGTCAGTCCCAAACTGTATGTGATTTGACCTCCATTCATGCGCAGTGTCCACTACTGTGCCACTGTCATCAGCTTGGATGCTTTTTTTTAAAATTCTCCCATTAGTGCCTTTATATGTTCTTCCATGCTGCCCTTATGCATGGAACAACCTCCCTTAACCTGTTTGCCACACCACCACCAACTTCTAATTTCCTCCTCTAAATTTCCTTCTTCCATGTTCCCTATGAGAAGTGAATTAATGTAACAAACTCCTTGGAATAACTGTCTTGATATTTTTATCCTATGCATCAGAGTGGCATCTGAGCATTCATAGACATGTCCATGTCTCATGGAATTAATGAGAGATCTTATTTAGTGCTAGTAGTGTTCAAGATTAAGCCTGGGATCAAATGACCCTGCCTAGTTATAAAAAGGAAGTGGGCTTACTCCCCTTTTCTTATTCTCATTGGCTGTGTCTAGACTGCATCCCTTTTCCGTAAAAGCGATGCAAATTAGACACATCGCAATTGCAAATGAAGCGGGGATTTAAATCCCCCCGCTTCATTTGCATAAACATGGCAGGCGTTTTTTTCCGGCTCGGAGCTTTGCCGGAAAAAAGCACCAGTCTAGATGGGGATCTTTCGGAAAATAAAGCCTTTTCCGAAAGATCCCTTATTCCTTTTTTTAAGAGGAATAAGGGATCTTTCGGAAAAGGCTTTATTTTCCGAAAAATCCCCATCTAGACTGGAGCTTTTTTCCGGCAAAGCTCCGAAGGAAAAAAGCGGCAGCCATGTTTATGCAAATGAAGCAGGGGGGATTTAAATCCCCGCTTCATTTGCAATTGCGATGTGTCTAATTTGCATCCCTTTTCCGTAAAAGGGATGCATTCTAGACACAGCCATTGTATCTAGGGATGTTAAATATCAGATAATTGAATGTCCATTAACTTCATGAATTCTTATCAGTTAGTCAATTATTCTATAGTCTCTGGGGACAGGGCCAACAGCCAGTGTGCTCTGGCCCCACTCTCAAGGAGACCCCTGCCACTCTGTGCAGCTGCTTTTGTATGAGAGGCAGCAGCACGGGGTGCGAGGCGGGAGCTGGTTTTTGAGGGGAGCCAGTTTAACTAGCTCCCCTCACAGACTGGCTGCCTGTTGCCCTGCCTGCACTGCTGCCTCTAGTACAAAAGGGAGCAGTGCAGGGTGGCAGCAGCCCCTGTCCAGGAGGGGGCTGAGCCCCTGGACCCAGTGTGAGCCGGAACTGAGCCAGGCTGCTTGCCTGCTTGGTTCCTAATACACTTTAAATGCAGAGCCACAGCAGGGATAGATCCCAGACCTGGCATGAGCCAGGAATGAGTTGGGCTGCTGGCCAGCCTGCTAAAATATTTACTGGTGGGGGAAGGGGAAATGCATGTAGTCTACTCTATAGCATTAACTTACAAGCTTTTGTTCATCGGTTAATCAATTAATCCACTACACTATTACATTCCTAGTTGTGTCATGTCTGAACTTATGCCTGAATCCTGCAAGTTGTTTCTTATAACCTGACCACTGGGCTCATGCAGAATTCCATTGTTTTCAATGAAGCTCCATGCAGGTGTAAGCATCTGTCCCGGTGGAACAATTTGCAGTATTGAGGACTTATGTCACAATTTCTTCAAGACCTTGATAGTGCCTTGACTAGTTTCTGTGAGGCACCCAACACACAGGCACAGTGGCGGCCTGTGAGTATAGGCAGACTCGGCGGTCTCCTAGGGTGCTGCCTTCAACGGGGCACCCAGGGCGCCCGATGATTACGGGGCGCCAATCGCATGTTCCGCCTGGGGCGCCAGCTGCTGCAGCCGGCCTCAGGCCACTCCTGCACAGGCATCAAGCATAACAAAGTCCTGTCAGGCAAGTACCTGTCCTTTATGATAGTGTTCCATGGGTATGTCTCATGGGTAGGAGGATGCTGAGTGGGGGATGTTACAGATGCCATAGATGAGGGGAAGTGCAGAAGAGGGCTCTATGAATGGTATTTCAGAGTATGCAAAAAGCCTGGATATTAATGGGTTTTCTGACAGTTCTATAGTTTCTGATTAATATTTTCTTTTTTGTTTCAGCTCTCAAAGGCTTGATACATGACCCTGAAGCATCTGTATGTATATTTGCTGCTCAGGCACATGAACGAGTCCTGGCAGTTTACAGGAAATTAAAGTACTGCCCGGTTGAGCAACACAAAGTTAATAGTGAGTCTGCTGAGAAACACAAAAGCCTCTCAAACACCTCCACTACCCAAAGCACCTCATCCAGGCTGTTAAATGCCCTTAACCTCTGGAAATTAACTACCAAGCGGTAACAACTGGCTCAAAAAGAAAGACAGGGCTTATGCCCTACTGAGCCCCATACAGGGACAGTTAGACTCCGATGATTATTTTTCTTAACTTGGGCTGCCTGCTTTGTTTCCAACCAGAAGGAAAATCAAAGGGATTCTGGAAAGGTCATTAACACGCAAAAGAAAGTCAACTAACCATCGGCAATAAAGAACTCTGGGAGTTTATTGGGACCAAACCCTGCCACGCAATCTTGACTTCTTTTTTGAAGCAGAATGATTTGTGGGTGGGGTGTTGCCCACATATTATAGCTGGATGTTAGTGCCAGGTGCCTGCCTCCAAGGCCACGACTGTGGGCTCTTTCCTCACTGAGCTATCTGCTCCCCATGAGCTGAGTGTGTGTCTGACCCACACCATGGATGGGGTGGTTTCTCCCCCACCGCCGACAGGGTGGAGCTGTTCCGGGGGAGGAGGCTTTGGGCAGATTTTGGCCCTGACTCTGTGCATTTGTTTCCCCTCCGCTTTTCCATATTGCTTGCTGTGATAGTCCCTGGGGCTGCAGGGGGGCCTTGCTTGCGGGGAGAAGAGGGGCTGTCCCCTGCCCCCGGGATTTGGGTGAGGGGAGAGAGGGCTGCGGGCCTGCTGCCCCCAGGCGGTGGGGCAGCGCGGCCCCTGGCTAGTTATGGCTGGGGAGGGGAAGCTGTCCCTGGGTTTGGGGGGG